TATCCAACCTTGAAGTATGCTCAGCCAATTATGAAGATGCCTGGAAGTTAGTATGCAATCGTTACAATAATAAAAGACTCTTAATAAACCATCATCTAAAGTCATTATTTAATATCAACACTATCACCCGAGAGTCTGAGCAGGCTTTAAGGTTCATGGTTGATCACGTATCAAAAAATTTACGTGCGTTGTCCAATTTAGGACAACCCATACATAATTGGGATAGTCTTATAATATACATGTTGACGACGAAGTTCGATAACCGTACACTCACTAAATGGGAGGAACAACGTAGCAACATTGACAATGACGAAATTCCAACTTTGCAACAATTCAACAAATTTTTAATCGATCGCGCTGACGTACTTGAATCAATCTATCGTAACAAATTAGACAATAGCAATAAGACAACACAAAATCCAACTAACTCGTACAATAAATAAAATACAAATACAATAATTAAGGCATTTACATCTTCTAGTGAAGAAAGGGCCCCAACGCACAGTAACATTTTTTATCCATGTATCATTTGTAACGAACAACATAGAATTTATGATTGCAATTTATTTAAGGCAAAAAGTGTTCAAGAAAGAATTTCGGATACTGCGAAACATAACTTATGTGCAAATTGCTTAAGGAAGGGTCATAATTCGAGCGAATGTAGGATGGGTCCCTGTCGCCTATGTAAGAAGAAACATAATACTCTTCTACATACTCCAAAATCAATAAATAACCACTATGCTTCAACAAGCAATAACAATACCAACAACACTTCTATCAATAATACACAGAACGACGATAACGACAAAACACGTAATGAATCTATGGTCTATGTTTGCAATCCTAACACTAATCATATACTTTTGTCAACAGCGTTGATCAAGGTAATTAATCCATTGACGAATAAATTTGAGACGATTCGTGCTCTGTTAGACTGTGGCAGTCAGTCATCTTTTATAACAAATCAATTACAAAATAAGCTATCATTAAAAAGAAAGAAAGAAAATGAGTTTATTTAGTAACACATTTTAGAAGTTTGCTTACCATAATAACATATTAAGATAAACGGTTACTAAAAAGGTACCCAACTCAGCATAGTCTTGGTACTAACAAAGTACTTCGACATTGATCTTCCGTGGGTGCCGATAACATTTAACACAAACAAAACTTAACAATATTCATTATTATACAATGTTAAGTCAATATGCAAATACAGTATATTTAAACCATATACACGATTACACTAATAATAATAAGTAATAAAACATACATAAGTACTTATAATAAATTAATATAATATAAATAGCAATTACTTAAATAAGATTAAAAGGAAACGAATAAACAGAATAGCAAAGTATGTAAGACACAGTAAATAATTTTCAATAAATTGACTTTTGAATATTGAGTAAGTATTTTTTGTAGTTATATTTAAACAAACCGATTGAAGCTAGATTTCTAATTGGTGGTGGAATGTTGTTCCAGCATTTCGTGGCAGAATAACGAAAGCTACCTCGAAATGCCGATGTACTGTGTCTTGGACATACTAAACGAGTTGCTATTCTAACCTGTCGCCGTGAAAAGTCTAATTTGTTATAAAGATACTGTGGTGTGTGTGTCATTATGATACCAAACAATAAACTGGCAAAATGAAGAGAACGTCGAGACTGCATATTCATTAAATTACTGTTGTTGAGATAAGGTGTTACATGGGTCCGCTTCGGTATGTTAAAACAAAAACGTGAACAAGCGTTTTGCACCCTTTGTATAACTTTCTTTGTATGAGAGAGGAGACATTCGCCTATAACCGCATCAGCGTAATTAAGCTTAGAAAGAATTAGTGACTCACAAAAGTATATCCTAATGTCTAAACTTAAAAATTTACGTACTTGGTATAAAATTTTTAGCCTAAAATAACAATTTTTAACAACTTCTAGGACATGATTATGAAATTTTAATTTGCTGTCCATTAGTACACCCAGGTTTCTAGCCTCTGTCACTTGTTCAATATGTTTATTCTGTATTTTTAGCTCTAAAGTAAACCTATTAATCCTATCTACTTGATTTTACATTCTAATTCTATTCAGTGTTAAGGAATCATGTGTCGCAAAAATACAATCAATGCATAACAACTATAATATTCAAATTTCATGTTATGTTATTAATGAAATAACAGGTGATCTACCAAAGTGTCCTATTGATAAAAAACAATTAAACCTGCCAACACATATTGAATTGGCAGACCCGTCCTTTGATCAGCCATCTTCTATTCACATGCTGATCGGAGCTGACATCTTTTGGGACATTTTAAAGAGTAAGCAAAGATCCTTAGGTCTTAATAGGGCTAAGTTAATAAGTTCTCACCTTGGCTGGCTGATTGCTGGTCCTATACCATTAAATTCTATTAAGCAAAGGCAACAAATCAATAAAACTTACTGCAATCATATAATTACAAATCAAAATAAAGAGTTAACTCTTTTGCAAGAAATGAACGATGAACTACTTAGAAAATTCTGAGAACTTGAAGAGCTGCCTCCAGTGCCTAATTATAGTGAATCAGAATTTGAATGCAAACAACACTTTAAAAAAATACAATAAGACTCTCTGACGGTAGGTTTTGTGTTAAATTGCCTCTTATTGACTCGGCAGATTGTCTTGGAAACTCATACAATTTAGCCAAAAAACGATTGTATAACTTAGAGAAACGATTTAGAAAAGATACAAATTTCAAACTACAATATTCACAATTTATATAAGAGTATGCAGATTTAGATCATCTTGCCATATCGACAGTGTCAAGGCCTATTACTAACTACTTTCTTTGTCATCATGCAGTTTTTAAAGCGGGTAGCGAATCGACAAAAATTAGAATAGTTTTTGATGGATCAGCTCCCACTTCCTCAGGCTTCTCATTAAACGACATTCTTAGGGTAGGCCCTAACGTTCAGGACTCTCTCTTTTCCATTCTTGTAAGAGCTCGCCAATACAAATATCTCCTAACAGCTGATATCGAAAAAATGTACCGTCAGATATATGTTGCTGAGGAAGATCGCGACCTTCAAGTTATTTTATGGAGGGAAGATGAGTCTCAACCAATAAAAACATTGCGCTTAAATACCATTACTTACGGTACTGCAAGTGCAAGTTATTTGAGCACTCGATGTGTTTGGCAGGTGGGTGAAGAATGCAAAGACGAAGCTATAAAAACTATTATACAGAAGGATTTTTACATCTTAATAACTGGTTCCAACAGTGAAAAACAATTAAAATATATACAAGAATCAGTCTCAAGCGAGCTCAATAAAGCATGTTTTCATTTGAGAAAATACAAAACAAATTTGCCTTCTCTATTCAACAATTCTGTACTTAAAGGCAATGAAAATTTAACGTTTAGTGAATCTTCAAGCATGCTTGGATTGGGGTGGAATCCCTATAATGATATATTACACTTTCCTATAATCCTCCCCCCTACAAATATACGCGCAACTAAGAGGTCTATCATGTCCAATGCTTTTAAGATCTTTGACCCCTTGGGTCTTCTAAGTCCATGTGTCATTGTACCTAAAATTCTATTACAAAAAATTTGGCAGCTTAAACTAGACTGGGATGAGCCAGTTCCATCAAACATCAATTCGATTTGGCAAGGCTTTGTGGATTCGCTACCTATCTTATCACGATCAGAGATTCCAAGAACAGTTGTTTGTGATGCACCAACTTCCGTTGAAATTCATGTATTCAGTGATGCATCACAGGCAGCTTATGGATCTTGTGTTTATGTTAAGTCCACAAACGCCAATAACAAGGTTTTTGTCAAACTTTTATGTGCTAAGTCGAAGGTGGCTCCGCTGAAGCCAACAACAATACCGCGACTAGAACTGTGTGCTGCGTTGCTTTCAGCGCGATTATGCAATAGTGTCATCAATTCAATAAGATTTAAACCAGACCGTATAATATATTGGTCTGATTCGAGCGTGGTGTTGGGTTGGCTGAGTGGCAGTTCAAATAAACTTAAGACCTTTGTTGCTAACAGAGTTGGTTCAATATTAGAAAAAACAGGACCTTCATCCTGGCATTATGTACCCACTGCTAGCAACCCGGCAGATCTTATATCCAGAGGTGTTAGTGCTACTCAGCTCATAAATTCAAATCTGTGGTGGTCAGGGCCCAGTTTCCTATATTTTGATGATTCTTTATGGCCTGTTTTAAAACCCAACAAATATGTCGATTTGACTGAAAACAAAGTTATTTTATCAACAATATTACAGACTTCTATAATCGAATGGCAAAGATTTTCAAAATTTACAAGAATTCGTCGAACTATGGCCTATGTTCTGCGTTTTATTTACAATATTAAAAATCCAAAATCTAAGCAAGTTGGCAAATTGACTCTTGATGAATTAAATAAATCATTTCTTTTATTATGTAAAATTTCGCAGCAAGAAAGCTTTCCTAAAGATTTTATTGACCTAATTAAACAAAACCCAATCAGTCCTAAATCAAAAATTTTAGCATTATCTCCATTTTTATCAAGTGAAAATTTAATCAGAGTCGGTGGTCGCATCGATGCTGCTAATTGTTCATATGGGAGAAGGCATCCGATATTATTAGACTCATCTCATCATCTTTGTAAACTTATTTTTGCATATGAGCACTTACGCGGCATGCATGCAGGCCCCCAATCATTACTCGCTATTGTAAGAGATACTATCTGGCCTATTAACGGCAGACATCTTGCACGGCGTACTCTTTATAAGTGTGTACGTTGTCGACGTGCTCAAGGTAAAACTTTAACACCAAAAATGGGAGACTTACCCCCTCAGCGGGTGAACCCCGGCTTTCCTTTTATTTCTGTAGGATTGGATTTTGCAGGTCCTTTCTACATACTCAATCGTAGAGGTCGTGGTGCAAGGCTTATGAAATGTTATATGTGCATATTCGTTTGCTTACGCTACAAATGTATACACCTAGAAGTTGTAAGTGACCTTACTAAAGATTGTTTCATTATGACATTGCGTAGGTTCGTTTCACGACGCGGCCGGCCAGCGGAGGTATTTTGCGATAATGGTCGAAATTTCACGGCAGCATCAAAGGAAATCGCCTCCTTTCTAAGCAATCATACTGGCACTATCTCTGATTTTGCAACTCAAGAAGGTTTCAAATTTGTTTTCATACCATCTTACGCTCCTCACTTCGGCGGTATTTGGGAAACAGGTGTAAAATCAGCCAAATTTCACATTAAGCGCGTTATGGGCAATTCTCATTTAACTTTCGAAGAGCTTTCAACGTTATTTGCGCAAGTTGAGGCTATACTTAACAGTCGTCCCCTTTGTCCATTATCCTCGTCCCCGAACGATTATCTTTGCCTTTCCCCAGGGCACTTTCTCATAGGAAGACAGCTAACTGCTTTACCATCTCCAAATCTTCTCAATGCAAAGGAAAATGCTCTACAAAGACAGGCAAGATTAGAACGAATTCGACAACATTTTTGGCAGAAGTGGCAAAACGAATATATATCGGAATTGCAGCTAAGAACAAAGTGGAAAACGACTAAAGACAAACTAAAGGTTGGAGACCTAGTCATTATCAAAGAAGATTCGCTTCCACCTTTATGCTGGCGTCTGGGACGTGTAGCAAGACTTTTTCCGGGTTCAGATGGCATTTCGAGAGTAGCAGATATCAGTACAACAAGAGGATGCATTCGCCGACCTTTCGTGCGCCTATGTCCCCTTCCAAACCAAGAAGACCTTCAAGATTGAAAGCCCAGGTCTTTCAATGGGGGGGAAGATGTCAATGCTCACCACTGCAATTAGTTGCTATTAAAAATTCCACAGGAGCTTATTATTTTTGTTTGTAAATAATTGTGTCACTACCGTCATATTGCTGTACAATATTCTCTTTGTTCTCGTGATAGACAATTTTTCTCTAAAAAGTGTGTTATAAAAGAATCGCAATAAACTATTAACTATAATAAAGACTTTTTCATATGTCCAACTGAGACAACACCTCTTAAAGGTGAAGAGAAATAACAGCTTTTGTTGGTTATCAGTAATGGTCAGGTTAGGCCGAGCATGCGTACGGTCCAGGCATTAGTTAATTCCACGAAGCCACGAAGTGTTAAACAAATTCAATAGTTCCTTGGCCTTGCGGGCTATTTCAGAAGATATATTCCAAATTATGCCCAGCGAACAGCTTGTATCGCACATCTAACTAAAATGAACATGCCGTTTGAGTGGGGAGTCGAACAAGATAACGCTCGTCAGTATATTATTGACCGTTTAACAAACGAACCCGTCCTTGCCATTTACGACCCACAGTTACCTACGGAGGTGCACACAGATGGAAGCGCTATCGCTTACGGTGCAGTCTTAATACAGATTCATGAGGGTGGGCTTAGGCGTGCAGTAGCGTATTTCAGTAAATCAACCCAAGGCGCGGAACCCAAATACTATTCCTATGAATTGGAAACTCTAGCTGTAGTTAAAGCTCTCTAGAATTTTGGAAAGTACTTGTTAGGCGTATCCTTTAAAATTGTTACGGTCTGTAACGATCTAAAGCTAACCGAGCGTAAAAAGGATTAAAAGATTTCCAGTATACTTTCGAATACAGGAAGGAGTCTTTAATGTCCCATGCCGATTACCAAAGTAGGGACCCTGTGGAGGTATGCCATATTCAAAACCCCAAAAATTGGGCCAAGTTAGCTCAATCTGCAGATGAGGAGACACTTAATCTCTTTGATAAATTCAATAACGGTCAACTAGAGTCTTCCCGATACGAGTTACGAAATGTACTATTATATGTCAAATATTTTCCCGTTGGCGAAGAATCCCACCTATTGTGCTATATTCGCAAGGGATTTAAACTGAGTCTGCTTCATGTGTTTCATGATGACCAAGACCACATTGGGTACGGTAAAACGATAGAACTTATTTTAAGTCATTTCTGGTTTCCTGGATTACGCCCTTTTGTTAGGAAATATCTCAAGCATTGTATTGTGTGTCTGTCACACAAACGGGTGCCACGTGTCCCTCATCAAACCATCGAATCTTGGACTAAGCCAGATGATCGTATGAACAAAGGCCGTAGATCACCTTACGAGTTTGAGGTAAACGACAAGGTATTTGTGATTAAGGCTTCGCAGTCAGCGGGGAAAGTAGATTCCTGTATGCGCGGACCGTACAAGGTATTGAAGAGACTTCCACATCATCGGTACAAATTGGAGCTGTTGGCTGGCTCGTACGGGAAGCGTACAGAAGCTTCAGCTGGTGCTGCGGTTTATGATTGTAAGTCACCGATGTTATTATGTTTGACTGTCATGCAAATGTTTTGCTTATGTTTCATTGTATGTATGTGTTAGTGTACTTATACATATCTACGTTGACATTGAGATGTTTTCTCTGTCACGGCAGATGGACCACTCACTTAAGAGTTTTCCATGTTCACGCTGTTATCGAGTGTGATTCTCTACCACGGCAGATGGAAGATTCCGAAGGAAGCTCTTCCATACTTACGTTGACGTTGAGATGTTTTCTCTGTCACGGCAGATGAACTACTCATTCGGAGTTTTTCATGTTCACGTTGGTATCGAGTGTGATTCTCTACCACGACAGGACAGTTGCCCAAAGGAGGTACTGTCACGGCATACTAGTTACTACCGTAATATAGCTAACTGATGTATGGTGTATGAGGGCCCTCCAGAGAACGATGTGAATGAACGTGGTTAATAGTTTGAACGTTTTGTATGAGAAATGAGTGTAATGTCATGAAGTATGAACGCTTTCTTTGTAAGGAGTATGCTGTTACGAGCTATGATGATAAATTCTAATGTGTTCAATTCATTTGTAACTTTTAGCGGCGTCGGATGACTCGTTACTTGACACTTCGGAGGAGGCTGAGGCGAGGTCAAATCTCGAACACATAAAGGTTGCGGACGAGGACGACCGCCTGTCAGGAGAGGCCGTGTTACAAGATGATGACTAAAAGAGGGCGTGGCTTACGGTTGGGTCACCGAGATGGAGGGGTAAAAGCCGGTCGCGGTTGCAGCGGCACGGCAAGAGAGCGGACGTGCTAGGAATTTGATATTTGCTTAAGTGCTAATTAATAATTGACACTGTAAATGTAATAACAAGTTTATAATACAAGTTTTGTTTTGATTGTATTTTTTTATTTTTGAATTTTACTTCTGGTCGATAATAATAGCTATTATTTTAAACACAGTGTTGCTTTTATAGGCAACACTGTGTTTATAAGATAATGCCAGCGTTACTTGTCTATCTCTTCATCCAGCTCCACAATCTTCTCGTCAGTCCTCAGGGTGCGTACGTTGTATGTTGCCAGGAGCCGTCGTAGGTGGCAACCGAACCTCCACCGTAGATTCTTAGCACCCCCCTACCCCGCTGTTACCATGGTCGCCACCGTAGCCAGGAATAGCGGGGCCGTCGGTGGCTGGGGGCCGTCTCTTAGTAATTTTATCCATTTTTGGGGGTATTCGCCATAGTTGCCACGCTTGGCGAGTGGGTTGGCAACCGCAGTTTTTTTTTTTGTATTTTTGCTGTTATCAGGAAGATGCTGCTGCCCATCTCCTGCCTGTTTCCCTTTGTCGCCTTTTACGACACCCACGGGAAGATATGGTGTAGTGGATATTCTTAACCGCCACTACACGGCATAAATATGATATTAAGGAATTTGTTAATGATAATACTTTTGTTAATGAGGTCATCGCTTTCTATCTATTTCTAATTTGTTCTGTGTTGTTAATTATTGCGTAATTTAAATGGTTGTAAGTTGTACTTTTTTTTCGAAAGAAAAGTCCCGCCGAGTTTCTTTCTGGTTCTTACCAGGACAAAGGTATTTTTCGAAGTAATAATAAATTAAACGTAAGAGTGACGTTTAATTACTATTATTTATAATCTGTATTGAATAAAATATTTATATTTCTATTTTTTTATAACCCTCATATAATTTTTTAGAATTTCTCACAGTCGCTTTTTACGTCACCTAAGAAACAAAATGCAATGACAGATTCTCTTACGTCATTGCAACATGGTACGTTTATTTCTATATAACACTATTTTAACGTCTATTTTGCTGCAACCATAATACATAATGTATTATGATATGCGTTAATTATTCCAATATGTTACCCATTTCTACTTGTCAACTACAATGCGATCTCTAGTGGCTACTTGTCAACGGAAGTTCCATATTTAATTAATGTATCAATAGCATTACCGACACAAGCGTTGGCAACAACATGCAGCTGTTTCAGTAAATAAACAACTTATTTAATTATGCAAGGCTCTTTTTAAGAAGACCCTTTTTACTGAAAACGAGGCATTCCATCTTGTTTAGTTCTCAGGGATGATAACATATTGGCATTTTGATTCTGAACGATCCTTATTCTCGTGAATACTTAAAATCCAAATTTCAATACCTAGAATATTATCATAATTGTTTTCTCCGTTCTTCGGAGCATCTAAAGTTGCTAATGCCTTTACACCATATTGAGTATATGTCCTACTCTTTCGCTCTAACGGCTATAAGACTTTGGAACGAAATACCTCTTGATATTAAAAATGCTTACATAATATACTAATTTATATCGGTAATTTAGTCTTCGAATTCTTACATCATTATTGATAAAGATAAAAAGTATAATTGAAGTCTACATTTTCTTTGTACATGCAAATCAGTATCTTTTGAGCCAGATATAAATCAGCGACCTATGGATCGACAGTCCACCCGAAATAATGATTTTAAGAAACTAAAAGCCGATAAAATTATTGGTAAATCCAATTGTGCATGCCTTAAGCGCGTTAAATAATTACGTATAACATGTTTATACGTAAATTTTTAAAGTATTTTAATTACACACAAGTTTTCACTAAAACCCTTATAATTATTACTATACTTAAAATTTAACGATAATTTTATATCAAATTTCAATAAAAAAAGCTTAGAAAATCCAAAAGTGCTCGACTTATAATACTCGTAGTCTTGGAAAAATTAAAAAAATGTGAATTGTAGTTCTATTCGGTAAAGAGTTCCAGTACCAGTCACCGAAGTATAGGTTCAAGTTAACTCAACAAGAACGGAGGTAAGGTCTATTCATAACTAACAAAACGAGCCCAAACTCGGGACACCTAGTTCTACTGTCCGAGGAGTTCCAGTAGAATCACCCAAATACACCTTCAGGTGTACTTATTAACTAAGTGTGTATGGTGCTCCCTAGATGGGCCTGCAGTACGTCTGGTACTTCTATATATTTAACAAGTCTTAAAATAGTAAAAATTTATTGCCACTCCAAACAAATAATAAAAACATCGTTGGTAACAGTGATGAATTCATCGCTTTATTTGGTAAACAAAAGAGAGAGTGTAACATTTTTGCGTCTGAAACTCAAAACTTTTTAGGTTATCACAGCTGTACGGAGCATTTTCATAAATATCTTGAATAAGATCTGTGCAAAGTCCAGAAAATTAAAGATGATGCAATACGCAAAGTGCATAGGTATGTTTTGCTGGCGCCTAAAATCAAAATTCCAACGTTTTGTCGCATAAATCATATTTAACAATCATATTATACATATAAATTATATAAAAAGCACATTGTCAGAAAAATAAATTATTGTTGAACTTATTTTTTTTAAATCGATTAATTGCTATTTTTACATAAAAAAGTGGATTTAGTGGCTTATGGTGTAGATTTATCAAGTCCACATGGAGTGGTAAGCACGATAACTTTTGAAAATATCAAT